ACTAAGGGAGATAAATATGCAGTGCTTAGTGAGATAGAAAATATCAGTTACAGGAGCAGGGATAGGATTTACAACGCTGGATACGACAGACAGAAAATATATATTAAAGTGACTCATGGATTTCCGTAAAGTTCTGTGAAGTATTCCAACCACAGGACTAGCATCATCTGTCAATACACCAAGGTTTTATAGTATTGATGTATTGACAGACGAGGCTAGTACCTGTGATCCAACCTCGATATGTCGGGCTCGTTATTAAAAACAAAAGTATTGTACATAGGAAGCACTCGTGTCTGAGTAACTGTAAAATACAATCATCTTTAATCCTTCAGCAGCCGATTCAAACATTATGGTTTAAAGGAGTACAGTATTTGTACTCCTTTTAACCATAATGCTTGAATCGGCTGCTGAAGGATTAAAGATGACGAATCTTTAACGCACCAAAAGAAAGCTATCCTAAAGAAAGCAGTCAGGCAAAATAATGAAATGCAATTGATATGAAGTTATGGATTTATACATTATTCATTAAGTCCTTGAACATTTCAGCTATCAATTGTGTAAAATAAGGATTATTGTGCAGATTTGAAAGTAAGAACTTTGAAAATGGTCTTACACATGGTTTTTACTCGAAATATTCCGTTATTTGTAGGACCTACTCTATCTTTTATCAACTTAGTATCTTTATCATCATTTATTTTAGATTTACTAGATAACATTAGAATTAATTCGGTCTTATTGCATTAAGCCATGTTTCTTAAAATGAAAAAGTTGTTCTCCCTTTTTAAGTAACTTAAAAGCGTTTTTAAAGCAGAAAAAAACCAACAGCGAGATTTTTCTTTCCAGACACAAATGTATAGATAAATTATTTGTCTTGAACATGTATGAATTTTCAACAAAATAAGATAAAAATTCATGACAAATAATCAAATTACGTTTTTTATAGGATTTGACGCCTTTTTCATTGATGGTACGTACCTAGATAAGAAATCGTGTAAACTGTAAAATGGATTCGCATTTGAATAAATTATAAATTATATTAATTTCATGACATGCAGTCTGGTAGAGTAATTTCAAAAGTAACAGAATCAATGTTACAAAGAAATCAGGCAAAATAATGAAATGCAATTTCATAAACACATATAACAATGTACACACATAAATAAAAATACGGAAAAATAATTATAGTTATCAAAACCTATTGCTGGATTTGATGTAATGATGCACCTGTCTAAAAATGTTTATATTGTTTTCTTGCGAAATTTGACTACTACCAAACATAATTAGTTCTAAGTTAAAATCAACATGCAAGGCATTCAAATTTTGGAGCAGGATGTGTCTTTCGTTGTTAAAAAGTAAGCACTCACAAAAATAATGAAAGGCATTTTCACAGGGATTGCCACAATAACAAACTGGACTATCAACAAGATTTACTCTACAAAGATCATATTTAAGTGGACTACACTGATGTCTAAGTTTAGTGTGCAAAATGTTCAATTTACGTTCACCGAAATCTAATTTGATTGGTGGAGGAGATTGTACATTTGAAGCTAACGAGTTTTTGAAAGAATGTAAAGAAGTCAATGATCGTACTGAAAGGTCCAATAAATTCCAACCGCGAAGATTAGAAGGTATGAAAGACGAATTTGTTAGAGAAAGCCTGAAAGAAAGTATTATATAATGATTATTGTTTTTAAGGATGTAACGGCTATTTTCTGCAACGGAAGACGGTAATAGAGAATTAAAATAGTCTATACAAAAGATGGAGTTTTCTGCGTTTTCTTCGATCCGAAAGAGTTTCAAGACCAGTTTCAAAAGGTAAGTCTTTAGTTCGGGCATATGAAGGAAGTCCAGTTATGATACGAGAAGCTTCTCTTTGGGCTTTCTCTAACATTTCTGTTTCGTAAGTTGTACAACCATCCCAAAATTCACAAGCGTACTCTCAAACTGGTAAAATAAATTATTTCAAAATCTATAAAAGATAATCTCGATTTAATAAGTAGTTTAGCCTACGTAACACGTTGACTTTTTTCATTACTGAAGTATATATTGCACAAATATGAACACCCAATTATCCAAAAAGACTCTCTGGTGCCTCTGAAATAGGTAATTTTCTAACCATTGATACAATTCCGATGAAATTTCATAGGATTTTAACTTAATCATCAAACCCTTATACCAAACCCGACCAAAAGCCTTAGAAATATCGCAGAATACCATACATACATGTTTTTCCCCTCTAGAGCAATACAGATGTAATGATAAATTTCAATGAGCTGATATACAGTAGAATGACCAGGTAAGAAACCAGACTGGTGATTATAAAAAAAGTGAGTTTTCAATAGAATAATTATTTGAAAATTACTCTCTCAAACACACTTTTCCAACAGAAGATAATATAAAAAATGGCCTGTAGTTGGAGGGAGAATGCCTGTCACCTTTTTAAAACCTCGGCATAACGTTGGCTGTTTTCCAAGAGTTTGGGTAAACACCAGGCGATAAAGATATGTTAAAAAATGATTTCAAGGGAAACACAAACCGTTTCTGATGTGTTTCGTAGCATATTCTTGTTCTTATACTTATTCATAAAAGAAAATAATATTTAACTTTGTTTAAAATTCATATTTGTTCAAGATTTATCCTTTATTTATACATTTAAGTCGAGAAAACAACCGGTCACAGTTGTTTTTTTCTCTTATACTTATCCTTACATAAAAATATTTAATTTGAAAAAAAATCATTCGTAATTAAATTAAAACCATGTAGGCGTTAAAAATGTTTTTTTAGACAAACATATTAATAGTCCCTTGTATCACGATTTAAATGCAATCTGTGTGATTCCATTCCTCACTTGATTAACTAGGACAGGATAGATTCTAACGTTTAACAAATCATCTTACTACTAATAACACGGACTTAAATAGCTATTCCGTGGAAAAAACTCCTGCATGATGCAATCAGTTCACTGTAGGGTACCTACACGCACTAGGCTATTCATTGTACCTTATAAAACTCAGCTGTATTCCGAATGTGGTAGACAGTGTACATGTTAGTGTGGTAGACAGTGTACATGTTAGTGTGGTACACAGTGTACATGTTAGTGTGGTACACAGTGTACAGTGGACAGTGAGGTAGAGACCAACAATTCTGATAGGTACTATCTGAAACTGATCGGTGATTTTCAGGGTCCTCGCAGCAGCGTAGGTGATCTAATGTTATGAACCGGTGCCCGTAGATGATAGGGCCACTCCAGGGCCATTTGATTAAAGTATCATCTCACTGAAATGTTATAGTCTGAACACGGCGGCATGATACTCCATCAAAACAAATAATTTACAACGTGCCAAGCCGGGACAAAACGCCGACCAAAAAGAGTAGGGAAGAAAGAAATGAAATATACAAGTCGCAATCTAGTGTTGCAAAGGTTGGGAAGTGCATCGATTTGGGTTCTTTTAACAAACCCCATATGCGCAGAAGACAGAAAAACAAAAATACCCTACAAGATATTCTGAGAAGACCCCCATATTAGTCACACATAGGCTGGTCATACAGTGGGATACCACAAGTCTATCTTTCTCCGAACATGTACATTTATGATTGTAACAAATATAATGAGCTGAAGTCTTCAGCGTTTCCGGTTTCATGAGAAAAACACAACTACAACAGGAAATTACTGGACTGTGATGGAATGATGCAACTCTGTTCTGTCCAAATAACATGTAATTTCATCGGCTGATTTAATAAACAAAATATTCCAAATCTAGCATTTTCCTGTCAGTAACCCTGACTCAGAAGCGCCTGTGTTAAATTGGTCATAGAAGGAAAAACGACCGATAACCCCGATTAACATTTTGATTTTATTTAACAAGTTGTTCACAAAATAAATAAGTAGTTAAAAGTTAGAAGTTTAAAGACGATGGTATTTGCAAATTTTATTCTAAAGGAAATAACGAGTTATGGAAGAAAATAAACAAGGTTAACCTTCAACGTAAGAAGGGTCCGGTCGAGAGGCGTTAGCAATAATTTTGTTTTTTCTATCCATTAATTTTGTACTAACTTAAACATACATTTTATTTGGTCAATATTAAAATGGCAGTGGGACGGCGTTAACAAAGTCTAGGGAGGACGGTTAGCCACATTTCCTATGCTTTTGCTTGAAAATGATTGGAATGGATGAGAAAGAGAGAGTGCATGATTGGTAGTTTGAGAGAAGAAATGAAGGAGGAGAAAGAATGAAGGGAAAGGGGCCTCCTGTGCAAGGTTAGATGATGTGGGGGGAAGAACCCGGGGCACCCCAACCCTGGCATCCCTCCCAAAAAATGCTGGGGAAATAAAATACAATTTGGACCTTTGCTCGGAAAAAACCCCAACAACAAACAACAAGTTTATAGGTCACAGACATATAACCAACAGTTTATTTAATTGTTTTAGCAGAAATTATATTGGGCCACATGCAGGCACTTGTCTGTGTGTCAAAATATTATGAAAATAAAGATTTATCCTTTATTCATACATTTATGTCGAGAAAACAGCAGGTCGCAGTTGTTGTTTTCTTTTTTTACTTATCTTTACATAAAATCTGTAATTGTTTTGTTTTAATTTTATAAAAAAAACTTTTGTGATCAGATTGTATGGAAAAAAAACATTTAACAGTGTATTTTTTTAGGCAAAATATTTACAGTAATCTTGCGTCACAATTTAAATGTAATTTGTGCGATTCATTTTCTAACATAATCAAGAATGACAGGGCAGAGACGTATATGGCTTTATACAACTCTGGACAGGATAAATTCCAATGTTTATCAAATCTACCTTCCCTATTTCCTTGCAATATTTCCTTATAAGGAACAGGAAACTCGCAGCATGATGCAATCAGAGTTTCACCTTGTGTATCCCCTACTGTGGTGTAATGATGCAACTACTGTGTAGTATATAGTAAAGGAGGCGTGGTTTATCGTAGCCAATCAAATGCATCCATTGTTGAATGAATGAAACCTGGGTGACCTGGCGTGCCGTATCAACACAATATTTACTTCAGCCAGAGACTCGCTCGAACACGTGTGGAAACTAGGCTCTTCGCTGTTACATACGCGAAGATGACGAAGGACGATTACGATGTTAAATCTCGAAGTAAACAAAATGGAGAGGAAACAAGCTTGACGAAGAAAGACAATGAAAAAGTAGAATTAAAACGTCGAATCACGCTGTTCAATGGCGTCGCAATCATCGTAGGATCGATTGTAGGAAGCGGTATATTTCTGACTCCGAAAGGTGTGCTCGAAGGGGCTGGATCGGTAAGTTTACAATACTAAATGTTGCTTGAATATGATGTTTTCCCCATATGAAATAGTTTGTGCATGAATTCATGGCCGTGTTCGCATATAATCATGTGAAACATGGTTAGCGAAATGTGTTTACCGGATTTCGTCGGGTCGCGAACACGTGTTTTAACGTTAAAGGCCCCTTAGGTAAATGTCTGGGGTGTCGATTTCTGTCGATTCCAGCTGCTGAAACATATTCCTTAACATATGTGATTGTTGACAATAGTTCTGTTCAGTAGCAGGGTCAGAAGCGTGCGTTTTGATTTGAAAAGTAATCATGATCAATAAACAGTCTGGTGTCATCGATTTTGTTGTAACAGCAAATACTACTGGCTTGTTCTATTTATAGAACAAGCATTTATATAAATAGTTCAAGATTTATGTTAAAAAGCTATCGGTATATTGCCACAAATTAATATTCTACACGCGTTTGAAAGCTAGCTCCGAAGCCATTGACACTTAAACAAATAAGGCATAAAATACAATTTTCATAACGCCAAGCTGAGAGAGAAAGATCTGCATTACATCACAGCAGTAGATTAGTAGCTATCTAAGAAACAACACTAAAATTTAAATAACAAGTGTTATATTATCGGATCATTTTTTAATGTGTGAAAATACTTAAAACCCCACAGCATGATCATGATAACAATTTAACATTCACCAAGTTTTACAATTTAAAATGATATTTATAGTAAATTAAACATTTGATGTTTTGTCCGATCTAGCTAAAATAAGCAAGTGTTAAGTGCTTTAAGTACATACAGTTCACATGATCACATGATCAATACAATCAATTGATCCATACAGTTTTTGAGGAATCATGGGAGCTACCTTATCAGGCATTAGATACTAAGCCCTATGCCACCTGGCTAATACCTCCATGTCTCAGAGTCATACCACATCACTGGAAAAAATTGCTTGCCAGCAAGGCAGTATTTTCCCCTCTGACATATTTCTTGGCTGTCACAAATGCACAGTGTCCACCTATATCATTATAGGTATATTCAGTGTATAAATAACTATGTTCTGTTCTTAAGCTCCTCTGCTAAGGAATCATTTCTACTTTAAAAAAGAAAGGAACAATCTTTGTTCATCGATGGTTGATATATAAATTGTAGACATCAGAAATTCAATGTTTTTGTAAAAAAAATCGTCAATGGAAACCTTACTGTTTCTTGCATAAAATAACTCATGCCAATATGGGCAAAAATCCTCAGTCAATTTAAGCTGACAGCTTGTGTTGTGATTGGAACCCCTCTTTTTATAATATACCTTTTAGTATGGATGCTTATTTCCTCACATACACAACTCATACAACAGAGTTAGCTGGACATTTTTTATTTTAGTCCTGCCTTAAATGTGTACTAAACAAGGAAAGAGCTTTATTTGGGAATTGCTGTTTTTGAGTAAAAATTGAAATGGTCATATATATATATATATATTGATTATATCACTAGTTCATGTTATCAAAAAACAAGCCCCTAATTAATTAAACAATTTTCAGGAATTTCCCAGTCATTATATGACAATTTTATTTTAACATTTAAAAATTCCCGTTGTTGATTATGGATCAAGGGCGTGTTTTGCTGAAAACCCTATATCTTATAAACTCCTGTCTATCCATCTGAATGGGGTAGATAAACCATTTTAATTGCTATGTCACCCATTAAGTGCAGTGTCCCTGTAAGAAGTGATTAGGCTACGCGGTAACTCACACTTAAAATGATTAAATCATCGTTCATTGGCAACCTGTAGCTGGAACACTTGGTGACAAATTTCTTAGACTTCTACATCTGATTCATAATACGTAGAAATTAAACAAAAGGGTTTAAGTAGTCTGCAAATTAAACCTCTGTCCTGGTATCTGAAGACAGTTGCTTTTCCGTGAGGCCAGCTGTGAATAAATAATTGTAAATTCGCAAGCAAGAAATAAAAAGGAGGAAATGGTGTATTTATGATATTTCAACTACTTTATGTGACATTCAGTCTGAAAATTTACTCATTACTAAAATTCCAGGTATTTTCTCTTCAGAATTTAATGATATTTACCATTAGTGCCAGTCACAAAAGCATATAACAGCCTAACAGGGCAGCTTCATTGTCATACAATGAATGGCAGACCTAGCAAACACCATTCTTATAACAACCCTCAAGGTCTACACAAAACCAGGCAGCTCTCAGAGTCATAGACTCAGTCACAACATGGCAGCCCTCAGAGTCATAGACTAAGTCCACAACATGGCAGCCCTCAGAGACATAGACTCAGTCACAACATGGCAGCTCTCAGAGTCATAGACTCAGTCCACAACATGGCAGCCCTCAGAGTCATAGACTCAGTCCACAACATGACAGCCCTCAGAGTAGACATAGACTCAGTCACAACATGGCAGCCCTCCGAGACATAGACTCAGTCAACAACAAGGCAGCCCTCAGAGTCATAGACTCAGTCTACAACATGACAGCCCTCAGAGTCATAGACTAAGTCCACAACAGGGCAGCCCTCAGACTCATAGACTCAGTCAACAACATGGCAGCCCTCAGAGTCATAGACTCAGTCCACAACATGACAGCCCTCAGAGTCATAGACTCAGTCACAACAGGACAGCCCTTAGAGTCATAGACTCAGTCAACAACATGGCAGCCCTCAGAGCCATAGACTCAGTCCACAACATGACAGCCCTCAGCGTCATAGACTCAGTCAACAACATGGCAGCCCTCAGGGTCATAGACTCAGTCACAACATGGCAGCCCTCAGAGTAATAGACTCAGTCCACAACATGACAGCCCTCAGAGTCATAGAATCAGTCCACAACATGACAGCCCTCAGAGTCATAGAATCAGTCCACAACATGACAGCCCTCAGAGTCATAGAATCAGTCCACAACATGACAGCCCTCAGAGTCATAGACTCTGTCTACAACATGGCAGCCCTCAGAGTCATAGACTAAGTCCACAACAGGGCAGCCCTCAGACTCATAGACTCAGTCAACAACATGGCAGCCCTCACAGTCATAGACTCAGTCTACAACATGACAGCCCTCAGAGTCATAGACTAAGTCCACAACAGGGCAGCCCTCAGACTCATAGACTCAGTCAACAACATGGCAGACCTCAGAGTCATAGACTCAGTCACAACATGGCAGCCCTCAGAGTCATAGACTAAGTCCACAACAGGGCAGCCCTCAGACTCATAGACTCAGTCAACAACATGGTAGCCCTCAGAGTCATAGACTCAGTCACAACATGTGAGCCCTCAGAGTCATAGACTCAGTCTAAAACATGACAGCCCTCAGAGTCATAGACTCAGTCTCCAACATGACAGCCCTCAGAGTCATAGACTAAGTCCACAACATGGCAGCCCTCAGAGACATAGACTCAGTCACAACATGGCAGCTCTCAGAGGCATAGACTCAGGCCACAACATGGCAGCCCTCAGAGTCATAGACTCAGTCTACAACATGACAGCCCTCAGAGTCATAGACTCAGTCTACAACATGGCAGCCCTCAGAGTCATAGACTAAGTCCACAACATGGCAGCCCTCAGAGACATAGACTCAGTCACAACATGGCAGCCCTCAGAGTCATAGACTCCGTCAACAACATGGCAGCCCTCAGAGTCATAGACTCATTCTACAACATGACAGCCCTCAGAGTCATAGACTAAGTCACAACATGTGAGCCCTCAGAGTCATAGACTCAGTCACAACATGGCAGCCCGCAGAGTCATAGACTCAGTCCACAACATGACAGCCCTCAGAGTCATAGAATCAGTCCACAACATGACAGCCCTCAGAGTCATAGACTAAGTCCACAACAGGGCAGCCCTCAGACTCATAGACTCAGTCAACAACATGGCAGCCCTCAGAGCCATAGACTCAGTCCACAACATGACAGCCCTCAGAGTCATAGACTCAGTCCACACCAGGGCAGCCCTCAGAGTCATAGACTCAGTCACAACATGTGAGCCCTCAGAGTCATAGACTCAGTCCACAACATGACAGCCCTCAGAGTCATAGACTCAGTCCACAACATGACAGCCCTCAGAGTCATAGACTCAGTCACAACATGTGAGCCCTCAGAGTCATAGACTCAGTCTACAACATGACAGCCCTCAGAGTCATAGACTCAGTCTACAACATGACAGCCCTCAGAGTCATAGACTCAGTCTACAACATGGCAGCCCTCAAAGTCAAAGACTCAGTCCACAACAGGGCAGCCTGCAGAGTCATAGACTCGGTCTACAACATGGCAGCCCTTCGAGTCATAGACTTGGTCCATAATACGGAAGCCTGTTTAGCGCTATCATGGGTTGTTCTGAAGTGCTCTAAAACCACCCTCTTCACTACTACAGTATTAAGCGGCTTTGGTGAAATACCTAATTATTGTGACGAAAATGAGATTTTACCTTCGCAACTAGTCAGCACCTTTGAACATCAGAGTACAACATAGAACACTGTTTTGATAGTCGTCTGCATTGTTACTATAGTAAATTAATATTGGTAGAAAGAAGCAATATCGACATTACAATCCTCCAACATAAGCTGACCTGGGGGGACAAAAACAGACAGACAAAGGGTCACTTCACGGACAATAGGTGTCACAGAACAGTTTGGCTTCTGTTTCCTTTATAAGGTATTTAGCACCTTGTGTATGTTAGACCTAATGAAAAGCATGCTTTGCGTTGCTTGTAATTCTGGTAGAAGGATTATTGATGTCATTTTAGGTGAGACTATTAGTCATGGACTGATTATGTAGAATAAGATTTAACTGAGCCAAAGCTTCAGCATTGTGTGTAACTACACTTTCCTATTGACAAATTGTAAAGTTGTAATCCTGGTTATATTCTGTCTAAGTATGTATTAAACTTGACTTTGACCACACAAACCATTAACCACACCAGTCAGTAATAGTGATACAGATATTAACCGGTATTAACCTGAAAAACCCCAGTCATAATATAATTATTTATA